TATGATCTGTGATGCCTGTGATGTGTTTTTTGTTTCAATTTGCTAGTTTTGATTAAATGCTACATGTGATGTGTTTTTTTGTCACAATGCAAATGACACTGCCTATGATGCCTAATGTATTGGTTAACTGAGCATTTTCCACTGCCTATGATGTCAATTTGATGAACTGTTGCCTGTGATGCAATTTTTTTTAACTATGGCAATGCCACTGCCTATGATGCTAATTTCATATTCAACTAAGCACTTGCCGCTATCTGAATGATTTATTGAGAGATTTCCACTTTTAGATGAATTTGACTAAATTGGGGACAATTTGAGATGAATTAGGATAAATTTGTGATGAATTTGAGCTAAATTAGGATGAATTTGACGAAATATATGCTACATGTCTACTTAATTCTCTCTTCTATGCCTTCTGGCTACTGCTCTTATATGCTGCTGGTGTTGGCTGCTGCTCTCTGCTACTCCTATAACTATATACTACTGCTACCGGTATATACTACTATTCATCTACTCCTACAACTATATACTACTACTCATCTACTACTACTACTCCTATATACTACTGCTGGTGGTTCTCTACTCCTACTAGTTACTACTCCTATACTCCTGCTACTTACTACTTACTACTCTATCCACTACTACTGTTTTCTGTTTGCCTGTGATACTTACTGTTGGCTTATTATCTGAGAGCACACATGCCTATTTTGAATTGAGCACATGCTGCCTATTCTTGAATTGAGCACATGTTTACTTGGCCAACCTATTTTGAATTGAGCACATCCTGCCTATTTTTGAATGAGCACATGCTGCCTATTTTTTGTTGCTTACTGTTGGCTTATTATCTGGTTGTGATGCCCTCCCTAAATTTTGTTGTCCTCCTCTGGTTGTGATGCCCTCACTGAATTTGGTTGTCCTCCTCTACTCCTACAACTACTACTACTCCCACAACAACTCCTCCTCCTCCTCTATACTCCTACAACAACTACTAATCCTCTATACTACTTACTACAACTACTACATACTACTTACTACAACTCTACTACTTTTACTACTCTACTAGTGTGTTGGTTGCTGCTCCTATTTTTGACTACTGCTCTACTACTCTGTACTACTCTATACTATTCCTACTCCTACTACTACTCCTAATACTTCTACTACTCTACTAATCTACTCCTCTACTCTACTACTCTACTCTTACTACTCTACTACTTCTATACTATTATCCTACTACTACTCTGTACTCTACTCTACTACTCTTAACTACTATCCTCTACTCTCTACTCCTACTACTCTTACTACTATCCTCTCTACTCAGTACTCCTACTACTCTACTACTATCCTCTACTACTCTCTACTTGTCCATATTCGGCTGCTTCCTTAGGGGACAATTTGAGCAGCCCTACCTCGAATAATCGAGGCGGGCAACCAGGCCAACTGCCTTGGAGCCCACTTGTGAAACTCTGTGTAAAAGAATTTGTGTAGTAGTGCCTTCGGGGTCGATTTGAATTTGAGCTTCTCTGTGGTATATGCAATGATGAACTGTTTAAACTTTGAAAAATGTGCTGAGGCAATGGTATTTGCAATGATGTGAACCATTTTATGCTGAGGCAGTGGCTATGATGGCCAAATGCCCCCCTACTAGTACTAAGCTCCAAAACTAGGATGGCTTGTATACAAGCAACCAGTTTAGAAGCGATGTGATGACAATGGGGCGAATCTGAGCCAACTATGTACATGATTTTTCTCCAAATTCTTAAATTTTGTACTTTTCTTGTATAATTTTGTACTTTTCTTGTACAATTTTGTACTTTTCTTCACTCCGTGGGTTTATAAATTCTATAATTCAGAAGGACACTCCGTGGTGATTCACGGACGCTCCGTGGGTTCTAGGACTTAGGTGTTTAAGTGACTAAGTCTGTGTGGTGCTTACGGAACGTTTTGTCAAATGTGACGGATGCTCTATCCTCAATTGGCTGCTCCCAGGTTTGAATTATAGCCATTATAATTCTACCGGACGCTCCGTGGGAATTTACGTAGAATCTGTCACTTGAGTCTATGATCTCTGAGTTTTCTAAGCGTGTGAATGAAATCATGGAACATTCCATCAGTCGTAAAATTGTTAAGTTGTCTACCTAAGTGTTTTGGTCGTGCATTTGCATCGATTGTACCTTCCCTCAAAAGTGGTGGACGGTCCGTGAGATGCTGGACAGTGCTAGATATTGCATCTTGAATTTGTGATCTTCATCTATAGGTCTTGCATGTTCAATCCATTGCTAGTGTGTGTTACTAAGGTGCTTGAAAGTCCACTAACGTGGGGCATGTGTTTAGAGTGCAAAGATGAAGCTATATATAACCTATTTCCCATTCTCACCAAGATTAGGATATATAAAATGCCTAAATGAGATAACATGAAAACATATGCATTGATATGATGCACAAAACATGCCTCTTATGTAGCACATGCTCAAAGGAGGCTAACAAAATTGGTTTCATGAATTTTGAAGACCTAGAGAAGGACTTATATTTTAAAGAGCAAAAAATGCATTATTTTAGTTCAAATTTAAAATATATTTCTGGCCTCGAAATCATGGTTAGATGGTAGAGAATATTTTGAGTAACTCAGCAAAACTTGTAGAGCTCGACCCCATCCATGGTGGTGGTGGCCATGGATGAGAGGTGAAGCTCCATGGGGGTGGGGTATAGAAATGGGGATGGAGGGGGGAGATGACTTGGGGCATTCTCATCATGTCTGGACGACCTCCACAACAGCAGTTCGGTTTGGGGTGGCTCGAAGGAGTAGATCACCATGGGGCACCTCCATGGGCTTGGGGAAGAAAATGAAGTCTCGGGGGGCCTTCTCCTCCAACTCCAGCGAGGCGACGCCGTGGAGAAGCTTGGCGGTGACGACCTCCAGCAGAGCTCTGGCATGGGTGCTGTACCAAGCTGGGATGAACCCGCCCAGGGGCGTTTGGCTGGAAAACCAGCAGTCCAGCTCCGGCTCCCATGGGCACAATGCTGGCGACCCAATACTTTTAACACCGATGATAAGCGCTACATCTCCTTCTACTACAACTCGACTACTTTCGTGGCATCGGTAGTTGTCATCTTGATGGTCCAGATTAAAGCCCTACTTACACGAAACGCACTGCATGCAGCCATGATATTTGACTTGTTCGGGCTTATGGGTGCATACATTGCAGGTAGCAGCCGAAGCTTGAGAGCCTCTATCCATGTCATTGTCTCGGCTACTACTTTCCTTGTCTATGTGACCGGGATCTATCTCCATGTCAAGGTGACATCTACTCCTAATACTTTGTAGGTATTAGAGCATGCAAATCACAGCCCTATATACAGTGGCTAACCTAAAGATCAGAGGTAATGAAGAACAAACACAAGAACGCAGAGAACACAAGAACAACGAATGGCAACTGTCAGAGGACAGTGCTATTTTTCATAGATAGTAGTGTTTACATCCACGATTACAAGGTAGTGTTCGACTCATTAAACACACTGAAGTCCAAGCTACTTATACCAGCAACTTTAAGAGCAGCTTTTTTAGTGAAGCTGAGTTGTTTTGAAAAAAACTGTTTGCTGGACATTCCTTTTAAAGGAGTACATTCCTTTTAAGCTATACATTTTTATATCAAAAGTTTGCTGGTATGAGTGTTATTAGTACAAAACTGCTTTAAAATATCATTTGCAATGTAGCTTTGTTAATACTGCAAACTATAGGCATAGATAGTCTTAAGAACAATTCTTGTTAAGAGTAGAGGCATGTCATAGTTTACATCTTATTTCAGGTGATGCTAAGTTGTGGGTGTTTTAAGTTTAACTTTGATATTTAAAGATATTACCATGTTTCTTCTATATTTTCCTTCTTACTTACATAAAAACAATATGAAATTGACAACGTACAAAACTTCATGCAAAAATAATAAATTTAAGTATTAACCACATTGAATCCAGCTAGAGATGAGAGAGTTAACTAGCAAAAAAAACTTGTTCTCTAGAATGAAGACCAAATAAAATGATCGATCGTTACATGAATTCTATTTACTAGATGAAAACATTTTAGGGAAGCTAGTCAGATTTGATATTTTTTGGAGAAATTTTGTTTATTATTAGAATTTTGAAAAACATAAGTTGACTAAGAAAACTATGTGTAATTAAGATATACAATCTTTTCAATTTTCCTTCTAAAATTTTCGTTAGATTTAAGTGTATTATTTATTTCATATATGACATATATTTTTTGTAATTTCATGGTCATTTTTAAAATATTTTTTGAGAAAGATTATTTTTTATTAGATTTCAAATATATAAGTTGACTATGAAAAACAGGTGTAAGATATACAATCTTTTCAATTTTTTACTTTCTAAAATTTTCATGCAATTGAAGTGTATTATTAATTTATGGTATATATTTGTTTGTAATTTAAATGTCATTTTTTACATCACATGCGATTCAAATACGAAGTCATTCAATAAATATGGATTAAAATTTTTAAATATTGATAAAATATTATTTAAATTTTATTAAATTTTCAGAAGAAGAATAGAGTCATTCGAAATTTGAATGGATGAGAAATGAATTTTGGAATGGTTTGGCTTCACTTGGTTGTTCGTTTAATTCGGAACTGCAAAAGCGAATTGTGCAAATCGGTCGTGGGCTTTGTTAGCACGTAACGGGCTCATGGGCTACTGGTGTTTGGCTTGTTGGGCGGAGGCCAGGGAATGGATGGAAAGGAGTTGGGCCATGCAATCATCCAATGTCATGTTCGTTTGACTGATAAGTCATGGCTGAAAGTATTGTTAGCTGATTTGTTGAGAGAGAAAAATTTTATTCGTTGGTTAAAAAAATATGGCATATAAGCAAAACGAACAGAACGCCACTCGCTCCGGCTCTACAGTATTGCTACAGTTGAGTTCCTGGAGCCAGAAAAGCTGTACCAAAGCGGTCTAAATCGAACATGCATGTCCCAATTTTATGGATGAAAATGGAGCAGAAGATGAGAAGAGAGCGCAGAGGAGTGGCAACTGGGGATGTGGTCAACCAGCAGGCCAAGTGGAAGGCAGGTCCGTCCATGCATGCTTGGCTGGCACCGAGACCGAGTGACGCTGACGCCAGTGGTGACACCAGCTGCGTGCTACTGCTACCTGCGTTGTTCGGGAGGCCGTATTATATCATGAATTATTTACTGTTGGCTGATTTAATGTGAGAGAAAAATACTATTCTCAGCTGAAAATTTACGATCGTTTACGAACAAGCGAACAGGCTGATCGGCCTTGGCCGCTTGGCGGACGTCGCTGTCACCCTCCTCGATCGCTAAAAGTCTACTCGAGATAAGGCATTATATGCGTATGCATGATGACTCGTGAGCTATTGTTGTTGCTGCTGGGGATTATGGAATTGTAGTGTCGTCCACACCACAGTGGCTGTCCACTTCAGGGCTCGTTGCAAAATGAAACAAGGGACAAGGGATAGAACACCAGCCAATTCATGAACTTGCGTACTCAGTGCACGCTGCCTTGCATTATTGGCTAAGGTTCATACTATCTAGTACCTTGCAAATATTTTTTACTTGGTTAAATAATCAATCTCGAGGTGCAAGCGCTCGCAATAGGGTCGTGGTTGAACCGTGCCCTAGGAAGAGGTTATAGCCAGAATCGGATTACAAAAATAATCAATCTCGAGCACATGTGCAACGTTGTACCATGCTGTTCGCTTACTTATCAGTCATGGTATAGTGTTTTTCTCTCACCACAAATCACCAAACAGTAATTTTCAATCAAACTTTTCAGCGAAACGAATATGGCAATGGCGCAGTGACAAGGAGCCTCCGGCGATGATGGGTTCTTTGCCTAGCAACAGACGGTGCCCGCCGGCGGGATCCCCGTCCGGCCGTCCCTCCGAGTACGTAGCGACAAGGCGACACCTTTCTGTTTCTGCCCCGCGCCGAGGTTGGCTTCTTGTCGTGTGCTGGAGCGCCGGACCAGGAAGGGGAGACCCGCCGGACGGCCGTAGCGCCACCCAGACGGCCAGACCCTGCCAGCCGAGGCGAGCTCACCGCCGACGCCATGGCTCTCGTAGCCAGTGAGTAAGTGACCACTGACCACTAGCCAGTCCGTCCGTGCCGTGCCGTGGCGTTCGCCGCCTCTTTTACCCGTCTCATCGGTGCGCGTAATAACCATCCCCACGGCCTCGCTCAGGCTTGATTTCTGGTGGAGACAGACGCTGCGGGCGCGCTGACATGCTCTTGCTTGTTGTTCCTGCAGTCGCCTGCAGCCGCTACGTGACCTCGGGCCCCGTCGGCGGCGGGGCCATGGGGATCTACGAGCGGCAGCGCCACCTGGTGGCGGCCGGCGTGTGGGGGGAGCCGTTCCGGCCCGACGCCGACGCCGTGGCCCTGCCCCTGCCCCGGCCCCTGGCCGCGGTCGCCCCCACGGTCACCGTGGCGACGACGCCGGCGCCGCTCGACGTCGTCGAAGCAGAGGAGGTCAAGTTCGGCAAACGCCTGGTAATAATTATTAAAGCGCCCTCCCCTGACCCCTGTGTGCTGCATCGCAGCTCGATGCGATTCTCCGTCTCCTCATGGATTCAGATAATCATCACTGGTGGGCCGTGGTTTGTTGCAGTTGCAGGCACAGCAGGACGACGTCGCGCCGCCGGTGGAAGAAGAAGCGCCGCCGCCGCCGTCGGATAGCTTCGGCCACGACGACGACGCCAGGCCAAGAGACAAGGTGAGACGGACCCGACTGATGAGTGATGAGTCGGATGAATTATCCGCAGGCACGAGAATTCCTCGATCGCTGATCTTCGCCCTCGCTCTGCTTTGCCTAGATTCAGAGACGGCTCGCGCAGAACAGAGAGGCAGCCCGGAAGAGCCGGCTACGGAAGAAGGTCAGTAGCGTCTCAGCGAAGAGCCAACACTCATCGCGTGCCAAGCAAATCTTCAGCAGATGGCCAGCGCCGTGGGCAAGCTCGCCGACCTCGTCGACTTCGTGGACAAGGTGACAGACTAGCCAGTTGCCACTGAGCAGCAGGCGAAACCAAAATCTTTGGCATTGGCACGCTCGATCGGTGTACGGCCTCTTGTTTCTGACCGACCGACCTCGACGTTGTTGGCACAGGCGGACCATGCAGACGCCGCGGCAGGCGGCGTTGGGGCTGCTCGCGCTCGCGGACTACGGCCAGCGGCTGCGCGCGCTCAGCTCGCTCTGGGCGGCGCGCCCGCGGGAGCCGGCGTACGCGTAACGAAACACCCCGCGACGGCTACGGCGACGGCGAACGCGAAGAGGCACGTGCATCTTCTAATGGTTACAGTTACAGCAGTGAATTAGGCTTTGGATTTGATTGACAGATCAAAGAAATTACAGGTGTAAATACAGTATACAAAGTTGTTTGGGTAGGAGTAGGACAGGCTTGTATTGTTCAGTTGCTGTTTGTCTCGGTCAACCTGTAAACAGATCATGTGAAAGATGTACAATGAACAGTATATGGAATGCTAGAGTTACACAGGTTTGTATGGCAACTATCCTAAGGTTCGTTTAGATGCAGATATTGGACGACTGATGCTAAAATAGGCACGAATGTCAAATTAGATTACTGGTATTGAAAATGGGCTACAATTCACCGGAGCTTTCATCAACTTCCACGTGCATGGTCTCATTGAGGCAGCGGATGCGATGGTAGAACCTCTTAGCGAGGCGTTTCAGGACATCACTTTATTCTCACCATTATAAAATGGCATTTATCAATTCAGCACAAAGCTTCTCTATTTCTGTCACCCTACTGTAACAGAACCGACTAATTTATAAGAGCACAAGTACAATGGCAGCCCGCAAACGGTCGTACTGTCATACTTGAGCCCATATAAACCCGATAGTACGTCAAGTACCACGAAATGTCTCGATTCAACCAACATACAACCAAAATCGTACATGATTCAACATACATGTCACACGCTACGTAAAGTTTACAAATTCATCCATTGAACAGGGCACAGAGTTGCCGAGGCCTTCGTTACTTCGCCGTGCCGTACATAGGAGACCACCGGCCACGGGTGCTGCCAGTGCATACCAGGGCGGCGCAGTGGCGGCAGGGTTGGAGGCTTGGAGCTCTCTGGCCACTGACGGGATGAGGGGAACCGCTGATGCGGCTGGCCATAGGGATGCCTCCGTCAGGCCACTCAAATCCGAGAGGCCCGCTGGGCCTGGCTGTAGACATGCTTCGGCCCCTCGACGAGACGAAAGCCCCCTTTGGCAGGGCTTATCCAAAACGGCTTCACCGGTGAAGCCAAAGCCGGTGAAGCCAGAAAAACTAGCTTTTTCCAGCTTCTAGTTCATTTTAACCTCGGCTTACAAAACGAATTTACGCTACAATGCCTCGATTTACGCAAAATAGATGAAGCCGAAGCCGGCATAAGCCGTGCCAAAGAGGCCCGAAGAAACGTGGTAAGGTAGGTAAGCCTACTTAGAGGGTTGGCCAGAGATGGCCCAGTAGGCAAACGCCCCAATTCCATATGCACAGGCCTAAAAAATACCACGACACAAACACAGAGCGAAATGCTGAAACAGAGACGACGCAGTACACCACCTACAAAACAAAACAAAAAAACGCATTCCTGACTATGGTCGTTGTTATTCCATACTAGTTTGACTAGCGAAAGGTCAACAATCCAACAGTGCCCATCCATCCATCCGACCATCCCGGTGCATCCTACCGGCCGCGAACGCTGGCCATAGCCAGGGAAAGACCGCCGACAAGGGCCGCGAACATCCCGAACGCCGCCGCTGGGCCGACGGTGCTGGCGGCGAGTGCAGTGGCAGCTGAGGAGGCAACGACGATGCCCAACACAGCTGAGAGGCTGCCGCCATGTTCGTGTCCGTCGTCCGCGCCGGCTGCCTTCACACCGACCGCAGGCGGATCCCCGGCCTTGCCGCCCGCGGCCGCGTCGACCGAGACCTGCGCGTCCGTTCAAAGGTCAGGTGAGCGGCCAGGACTGAGCTCTGCTCCACTGAAAACAGAGGCAGCGGCAATTGAAAGCTGTTGCGTGGCGTCTCGAGAAACTGCACGTGCACAAGCCCAGATCACCTGCACAGCGTAAGTAGGGGAACGCGGGGCGCGTAACGCCTCCGCGGCGGGCACGACGTTCTCAGGCGGCAGGAGCACGTCGTAGTAGTAGACGCTCTGCTCGGTGACGAAAGGCACCGCGTCCTCTCGTGGGGACGCGAGGCCGTCGGAGCAGCTGTCGAGCGCGCGCGGTCCAGCGATGTGGTCGTTGCCGAGGAGGAGCGCGACGACGGGCGCGGCGTTCTCGCGCGTCAGGAGGCTGTTGTCGTAGAACGCGCCCATATAGCCGTGGGCGGCGCGTACCTCGTCGCCAGAGTGGCCCATCCAAGCGTGCGAGAACCCTTTCTCCTTCTGGAACAGGCTTCCCTCCTTGTCGCCGAGCACCTGGAGCCTTGACGCGTCCAGGTGCACCACCACCGTGCCGTCCTCCTCCATGAGCTACGAAAGAAAAGACAAACGATCAGGCACAGCACGTTGCTCTGTTCCGACCGGCAGGTAGAGCTTGTACCCGCAGGATGAGGCGCTCGGACTCGGAGTAGTCCTTGACGGCGTCGCTGTTTCCGTCGCCAGCGAATTTGACGGTCGGCTCGTCGTTGGTCCCGGAGGAAACCAATCCGGGCAGCTGGCGGTGGAGTCCCTCCTCCGGCACGACGTCGACGGGGTGCGCGGCGTGGTACCGCCGGGCGTCTCCTTCGCCTTCGCCACGCAGAGGCGCCGCCACCGGTGCGGCGCTGGGAGGCCGCGCGGCGGCACCCCGTGGCCGCTAGCGCCGGCTATCCGACGGAGTTCCTCCGGCAGGTCCTCGAAACGGACGACGGCAAAGAGCTGGTAGTAGCCTGCGCCGGAGGGCAGCGGCTTGGCTCGCACCACCAGGCGGCCCGCTTCGATCCCGCCGTACGCGCTCGGCATCGCCTCCGGACGCGGACGCGCGCGGTCCTCGAGGTCCCCGCGCGCTCCGGCGGCCGTGCCAGCCTCGGGCATCAGCCCCTGGGCCATGCTGTTCCGTGCAGTGGGAATGTGGGGGTGTCTGGACTCTGGAGACCCGGGGAAGGGGAGCAGTGGCCAGTGGGGGCTGTGGGGCGTGTCTCCGTTTGGTGCGGCGGCCGTAGCCTTTATGCTTTCTCGGGTGTCGTCAGGTGACGGTGACGCCGGATCCGGCCGGCCGGCCGCAGCGTACGACTTTTCTGCGCCGTGGCCGTGGGGAGCTATTGGTATTCTGGTTGCTATTGGTATTCTGGTTGCTGGTCGGCGTGCACACGTGGCAGCTGGATGCCTTGGCGCGTGGCGTGGCTAGTTGGCTTTATCCGTGGGATCCTCACCGCGTGACGCCACCAATTACCAAAGCTGGGTATCGTGCGAGACTTGGTAGTCTGTTTTGAACGTTTAATTTGTTGAAAGAGAAAAATAGAAAAATATTATACTCTGACTGTAACCACGAACACCGCATGCATGCATGCATCCCTCATTGGCCTATTGGTGTGCCCATCATCCGTTCTTATGCTGCGCTTCCATTCAATTCCATGCATGCTTAAAAGCATCCCAATCACCCATCACTACCCAACACTATACACACACTCACACACACATAGACAGCTTCCTAGGGATGGCAATGGCTTTGTTGCCCGTTGTGAGCTAGCTAGCACACCCGCCCATGTGATGTAAACAATGTGAATTTTTTTATGGGTACAACTTGGACGCACACAACATACATTCTATATTCACACCACACGTACACACATGCGTGCGCGTCCGTACACACGCAAAGAAGAGATTGGGAAGCGTACCACCGAACGGGCACGCGTGTGTGTCGGGTATCGATAGTAGGGATACCCAAACCAAAGAAGTTAGCGCCCACGCTGACTTCCCCGGATGGCTCAAGACGTATTAAAAGGTCTCGTCCGACCCTAAGACCGCGGGCCCTGTCTCGCCCGACCCCAAGGACGCGGTCTCCGTCTCGCCCGACCTCAAGGCCGCAGGCTCCGTCTCGCCCGACCCCTTGGGTGCGGGCTCCACCTTGCCCGACCTCGGGTTCCGTCTCGCCCGACCTCGAGACCGCGGGCTTCGTCTCGCCCAAGGTCGCGCGCTCCGTCTCGCCCGACCCCTTGGGTGCGGGCTCCACCTCGTCCGACCCCAACGACGCAGTTTCCGTCTCGCCCGACCTCGGGCTCCATCTCGCCCAAGGTCGAGGGCTCCGTCTCGCCCGACCTTGAGGACGCGGGTTCCGTCTCGTTCGACGGGGACCCATACCACCGCCAACCACTCCAGGTCCAAACGTATGGGCCTGGGTCAAAACTCTGACGCTAGAGAAGAGGCTGGCACGCCTCGATGTAACCCGTAGCCATGACAGGCCATACCTGGGGATTCACATCAAGAACAGTGTCGGACGTGACAGTGCTATTCTGCCTAACCCTCGTACGAACGCTGACAGGCGCGTCAGTTCACCACGACGTCCGCCGGGACGGAGTGGAACTCCATGACTGGCAGATGAAGCCTGCACGTGGCGCCAGTGACGAACAATGCCGCGACATGGAGCCATCCCTGTTGACATCCATAGGATCAGTGGGACCCGCATGAAGGAGAAGAAGGACCCGGCAACCCTGGAAGGCTTCTTCTCACTCTCGTTCTTCTACTTTTCCTCCTCTGTAACCCGCGCTTTGCCTTTGCCTATAAAAGCGGAAGCAGGGCGACCTACGCTGGGGGCAAAAAAACACAAGAGCACGACACGAGCACACGGCTGAGCGGCAAGCGAGCTCTCAGCACCCGTTCACTCCTTGCACCAGAGACTTGGGATCCTCTCCCTTTCTCGCCTGTTTGTAACCCATACTGCAAACAAAGTGCAGGTAACACGAGAAGCAGCGAACTGGACGTAGGGGCGTTCCGCCTGAACCAGTATAAACTCTTGTGTCCTTCGAGCACACCATCCGACCCAGACGCGCAAATACAAATTTACTCATCGGTGATCCAAAAACACAGACATACCGACAATTGGTGCCCTAGGTAGGGGATTTTTACGCGTCTCGATGTCCACATCAGGCCTCGGATGGCTAGTCACGGCGTCAGCTGGGTCTCGGGCGCGCACGTGCGCTTCGGGAACCTGGACTTCATCGTTACGATGGAGGGAGAGTTGGAGCAGGTTCCTGTCGTCGTCCAACCTCTCCACTAGCCCGGCCTCGACGCGATCGCCGAGACGCTTGAGGAGCTGCAGCTGCATACACCAAAGGCCCGCGCCCCTGGGAGCGACCAGCTCCTCGTCTTCAATTACGGGAGGCTAAAGCGCCAACTCGGCGCCTTCCTGGGACCCCGACCGTCCTAGGAGGACCTACCTCGCCTCACTTTCTCGTTCGCCAACATCATGACGTAGCTTGCCAGAGGCGAACCGCTCTCCCCGGAATATCTCATCCGGCAGCGCTCCCGTTCGGTCTGCACAATGCCACAGAGACCGTTGGCCACCTTATGACGCAACGCACGCCCCATCGCCTACGAACAATGAGTTCATGGGAATGACCGAATACGTCGCGGAATCTTTCCATGACCTTCTCGTGGAAGAATTGGAGTCGCCCTCTGACTCTGACTCTAGTAGGGGGAGCCATCACACCTCACGAGAATGTTTCATGGCAGGTGCCCCCAAGGGATACATCGAAAGCATCCACGAGGGAGGGCTACCCCAACAGACAAACTCGACGAAGAGGTCGAGGGGGATGCAGGGGTCCTACCTCACCTACGGGTAGAGCAGCTAAGGGCGCGGCACCAAGAGCTCGAAGAAGCATGACTCTAGCTTGAGAAGGAACACGCAGAGCTCGAGCGCTACAAAGACGGTGGGCATGCGCGTGCCGTGGCCCACGACGTGAACCGGAGGATCATCGAGGACAATGAAGCCCTCCCACACTTCACTCGGGCAAGCCAGAATGTTGCTGCCGCGGCGGCCTTGCTCCGGGGGCTTTTGGAGTCCGCGACAAAAGAGGATCGTCGAGCCCATCGCGAGATTCACATGCTACTGGAGTGTGCGGCGGCGCAGCAGGCCGAGAGCTCGATGTCCCAACGATGCGAGCTCGACGCCAGCCAGCGCACGCCCTCAAAGTGACATGACAGGGACATGTTAGTCCACCAGGCACAGCGAGGCGATAGGCCGCGCGCTGCGGTCCCGGTGCATGAGCGTCTCGGCCTCCACCATGACGCACGCAACACCCTGGATGCCCATAGGAGTGCCCGCAGCGATGAGAGGGAGGAGGCTAGCCGCGGCTACCACCCTCGTCATGGTGGACGCTATGACAACGGCAAGGACCAAAGCCTGAGCCCCGACATGCCGGGACCTCAGGCCTTTGGCCGACACATCCTCAATGCCGTCTTCGAACCGGGGTATCGACCGTCGACCAACATCTCGAAATACTTCGGGGAAACAAAACCCAGACTGTGGCTCGAGGATTATCGGCTTGCTTGCCAAGCCGATGGAGCAGATAATGACAATTTCATTATCCGCAGCCTTCCATTGTTCCTGACCGATTTGGCCCAAATGTGGTTGGAACACCTTCTGTCCAACTGAATCCAAAGTTGGGCGGAACTAAAAGAGATCTTCGTGGGAAACTTCCAGGGCACATACGCATGTCCTGGGAACACATGGGATCTCAAAAACTACCGACAGAAGTTCGGGGAAACTATTCGTGGGTACATCCGGTGCTTCTCCCGATAGTGCAACGGGCTACCAACGTCACCGACGCCGAAGTCATAGGAGCTTTCCTGTCCGGGACCACCTGCGTGTCCCTGGTGCACAAGCTAGGACGTAAGGGCCCGTGAACCACCAAGGAGCTTTTTGACATCGCCACCAGCCACGCCTCGGGCGAGGAGGTGGTCGGGGCAATTTTCGACCGTCCCAAGGGCAAGGCGAAGTGAGACGAGGACGTCGGCGAAGGCGCCTCCAACCGCCCCAACAAGAAGAACAAGCAGCGGCGCAAGGGCTCACTCGTGGCCACTGCCGACCGTAAGGTGGGTCGGAAGCCCGCCGAGGGTACCTCGGACTACTTTGAGAAGCTGCTCGAAGGGCCATGCCTGAACCATGATTTCCCCATCAAACACCTATACAAGAACCGCGTCCTCATGAAGTGGTTCTTATCCAGGGGCTCCAACAAGGGGAGCATAGGAAGGAACCCAAGCCGCCACAAATGACGCCGAGGGATGGATGGTGGATTTCAAATACCGGATGGCTGCCTCATGATCTTCGGAGGGTCGGCTGCCTCACGATTCCAATCGTCCATAGAAGCTTGCGCGCCGCCGTGATGTCTATACAACCAAGCCGCCACACCTTCTTTCCTTCGATGGTCGGAGTCCGCCATAACCTTTGATCGAACCGACCACCCGTAAAGCGCCCCACGCTTGGGAAGATACCCGCTCATGGTTGACCCAATCATCGGCACAAATTGGCTCACGAAGGTCTTGATGGATGGAGGCAACGACCTCAACATCTTGTACGCTGAAATGCTTGACGCTATGGGCATCGACCGATCGCAAGATCCGCCAATCGGGTGCCTTTCCATGGCATCGTGCCGGAAAAGCAAGCCATACCACTTGGGCGGATCGACCTGCCCGTCACCTTCGGAAATCCATCCAATTATAGGACGAGACCCTTACCTTCGAGGTGGTGGGTTTCCACAGGACCTACCATGCCATCCTAGGACGTCCATGCTATGCGAAGTTCATGGTCATCCCCAACTACATCTATCTGAAGTTGAAGATACTGGGTCCATGTGGGGTCATCACCATCGGCACTTCCTTCCAGCGCGCTTATGAGTGCGAGGTCGAGTGCTACGAACACGCCATGACAATTGTCGCCTCCAAAGATCTTGCGGCCATCAGGGAGGAGGTCGTCGAAGAAGCGCTCGACCCCAAGCGGTCGGCCGGGTCTTTCGAGCCTGTAGAGGGTGCCAAGGAGGTCCTCATAGACCCCAGTGGCTCCGAGGGCAAAGTGGTGCGCATCAGCACCATGCTTTCCTCCGAATAGGAAA